ATGATAGTCATCGCCCAGCAGTTCCACATATGGGACCATGTGTTATTGATGAGCAGGTTGGGCCTATTACTGATGATGTCGGAGGTGTGCCACCACAGCATGATCGGGTGTTTGTGCAAGTGTCATCGGGGGGTCATGTGGTGGAATCCCAAGTTGCTGTAAGTATTCTTGTGTACAAGCGCAGGAAAGTTAAGCAGGTGTAGGTTGTATGTGGATGGTATACACTTATTTTGTGGCTACACCTACCAGTGGCCTTTTTTTTATTGATTGTTAAATGGGATATGTTAGTTGTTTCGCATGGTACTGTACTTTCTATGTGGTGCAGATGTGTTGTATAACAGTTGGTCCTACGTTACTAACTGCTAATGGGCAGTAATTTTTGGTCTGTCGCACATAAATGTTACTTGTTATGCACCCACTGCTCATTTTATTGTTCTTTCTACGTTCATTAGGGATGTGATGACGTTTCTTCGTTCAGTCTTGGGTTGTCCCAAGATCTCCCTACCCAATGTTGGGAGGAGGTGGATGCAATTGTGCGCGAATATGTGGGTGATACTTCAAATGTTCCATTCGGGGGTAGTAGGTCTGCACCTTGTGTACCTGTAAGTATTAGTGTGGATGCCGTTTTGTTATCAGTATACCTCTTTTCGGCCCACAATTATTCCGTCAATCTCAATCATCTCTGTCCCACAACCATGTTGGTAATAGGTGCGTGCGTTAGAACACCAACTCTCGGTTGCCCCAAAAGCACTGTCCGTTGGGGTTGCCGTTACGGACAGGGTCGTGACTGCACGTGGGCAGGCTGTAGGTAGTACCACCTCTCAGCATGTATTTTCAACTCCTCCTGAGGTATTGTTGTCTCCGTGGTTGCTTTTTGCCCACGCCTTTTTAAATTGTTTTGTACATATTTATTCATCTCTGGTTTGTTTCCATGTCGTAGCAAAACACTACGCTCGGTCCGTGCAAGAGCGTGGTATGCAGTCCGTCAATGCGTGCAGCACCAATCAAGGCTTCACGTCCTATAGTGCAGGATGTCGGTGCTTTGCGCACCATCGATTTCAATTCTTATGCGCCCCTCACGCGTACTCGCACTGCCAATATGCATGTTGCCAATAATGTTGATCCTCAAGCGGTTTATGATTGGGTTGCTCGTACTGCTAATGTTGACTTGTAAGAATTTTCTCTTTATTACATTTGGTCTTTCGGGGTTTCGACGTATTATGTTTTTGAATTTATTGCTTCTAATGTTACAGGACGGCAGAATTATTTAACTACTGTGGCCGTTCTGGTCGTCGGTTAGACTTTGTGTCATTGTTGGAAGGGAACCAAGTGCTTGTGGGTGTGTTTAGTGCTTGGTCGTGCATTTTGAATGCCCGTGAGAGGACCAAACCGGTTGGTGCACCAAAGCGGTTATTTGCATCCCCAACCACAACGGTTAGCCCATCATCGCCTTAATGGTCGTCTATTTTTCCCGTAGAAACCGTTTCATTTCGATACTAATATTTTTTTGTAATGCAGTTGTACTCGGTGGTTCAAAGTACGGCCGCATGGTCTCACCTGTTGGGTTTGTTTTCTGCTGCGTTAGATGCCGATTTGCAGGTGTCACCATATGAGTTATGGTCGGATATTGACATGGTTAGTTCAATCTCTAATCCATTCATTATTTTGCATTAGAGATTTCTCTATATGTGCCCATTTGTCTTGTGGTCAGTGAATTCTTTTTTTAACTTTGCTGCATACGCTACACGTTTTTTCGCAGTTGATCTTTCCGATAATAGATAAGTCGCATTATTACGTCGTTGCTGTTGACGTTCGGCGCCAGAAATTTGACTTCATCGATAACTCATCTGCGGGGGGGGTATCTCTTGACAAGTACGAGGATACCCCTTCTGTGTTGGTATTTATTTGTCCTTATACTTTGTTGGTGTTTTACTTTTTAACTAATGGCGCATCGTTATATACTAGTCATCATTGTATTCATTTGGCGTTTTGACCATTTTTTTTACTTTTTACAGAGAGATGTTCTATTGGTCTTCTTTGAGGATGCTAGTTATCCAGAACTTTACGCAAAGGTGTTGCAACTAATCCCAAGGAGAGTCCGAATGTCATGGCGCGATACAAAAAATAAGGTGGATTGTGGTGTTTTTGCCAAGCGTCATATGGAGACGTACATTGGTCAGTCTATTGCTTCCTGGGATTGCGGTCTTAGCCGGGGTGACGCACGTGCGTTGCTCTCCCTCCGTGTGCGGTATGTCTATGAAATTCTTATGTTTCATAGAAATACACGTCGCCAAGCGATTGTCAACAGTGTTGCTGGTGCTCAATGAATGGAAGGTGGTGAATGGAAGACGTATCACTGGCAGTTGTTTACCGCATCTACATTTTTTGCGTATATTTAAGTTTTGGGTGTTGTTAAACAGTTGGATATTTTGTTGAGTGCGCTAACATTACTCGAACGTGTTCCAATAATTAGCTCTCTATTTCGGTTAGTATGGTATTCCGTTGCTTTTGGTGTCCATGCAGTCTACTATTCATGCACAAGCACTGTGCAGCTAATTGTGCGAGCTTCTGTCTACATTAGTAGTGCATCTACCACTTTGTAACAAGTCACACAACCAATTTCCATTAAACAAAATCCCTACAACCTCTCAGATGTCTGCACGAATCAATATTCGAAGCTGCACATAAAATATCATTGAAACTTTGTATCTAGGTACGCGTTCATGGTCAATCCCCATGTTTGCTACGAATCTAACATTAACTCGCACGCACTGGCCAACACACACTTATAAATTAAAAAACTTGTTTAATTAAACATCCACGCTTCTTTTTAATCAATTCAAAGGGTCCATATGCACTTGTTACCGTTTGCAAAAACTTTATTTATTTTATTTTTAATATGGCATTTGGTATTATTGTGAGTACATGGTATACGAATGCTTATGCTCCGACTATAACATTCACTTGCACACGCTACAAAACACTAACAATGTTTCCTAGCTCTCTACTTAAAATTTTTTAAATTCGCTACTCATTTAGACTTTAACACCTAAGTATTTTCCTAATCTATTCGAACGTTCTGTTGTCTAGTTTTTTTTGAATTCACGCAGTTTATTAGTTTTATTTTTTATATTGCTTTTTTAAACACTGCTAGTGCATGTCCGTATTGGTGCTCATGCTACAACTATAATGGTTACTCACGCTTGGTTAGGCACAATCAAAAGATTTATAAACTTTCCATTAACATGTTCACAAATGCGTTCTATATTTTAAATTTAACATCAATCCCCGCGTTTGCTACGAATCTAACATTAACTCGCACGCACTGGCCAACACACACTTATAAAATAAAAAACATGTTCAATTAAACATCCACGTTCCTTTTTACTCAATTCAAAGGGTCCATTTGCACTTGTTACCGTTTGCAAAAACTTTATTTGTTTCATTTTTAATATGGCATTTGGTATTATTGTGAGTACATGGTATACGAATGCTTATGCTCCGACTATAACATTCACTTGCACACGCTTCCAATCACTAACAATGTTTCCTAGCTCTCTACTTAAAAAATTTTGAATTCGCTACTCATTTAGACTTTAACACCTAAGTATTTTCCTAATCTATTCGAACGTTTCGTTGTCTTATTTTGTCGAATTCACGTAGTTTATTAGTTTTATTTTTTATATTGCTTTTTTAAACACTGCTAGTGCATGTCCGTATCGGTGCTCATGCTACAACTATAACAGTTACTCGCGCTTGGTTAGGCACAATCAAAAGATTTATAAACGATCCATTTCCGTTATTATTCGATTTTCTGAGAGTGTATTCTTTTCATTTTTAATTACACTTTATTCAACTTCTGTTTTAAATTCGGGTTTTTTACCACCGAAGTCCATGCTAGTATCAATGCGAATGGTATCACAAAATCATGCACAAACCAAAGGAAATTAATTACTCTTACCGCGCAATGCACACAGTCACCAGGATATTTACACATCAGCTGCCCATATCATTTAATCACCTTAGAATCTCAAAAAACACTCATTATTCAGATGTTTGTACTTCTATTTAATAATTAATAACGGACTAATGGTTTAAATACTTTCGTGGGCAGCTTCGGCTATTATGGCCATCGGCCACTCCACATGTTTTGCATGTGCGCTTTTTCTTATAATGCTCCATCATTGCCGCCTCCCTTGCTGATTTCATTCGTTTGCCAGACCCTTTGGTTTTTGCTACAGGAGGTGGATGCACTTCTATCGTCTTTGGGGTTACGACACCGCAATACGACTCCATTATTGCACGCTTCCCACTTTCATTCACCTCAGGTTCTTCGTCCTTCCCGAATGTTGTTTCAAACTCTTCCATGCACAGTCTCATCTCCTTCATTTTTTCAGGTCTTCCTTTAGCCTTGCCCAAACATCTATGAAATATATTCATTAGTTGTCCTTCCTCATTGTTGCCGTGCGCCAAAGTATTGTTACCATTCTGTTTATCTGCGTCCTTATTAGTGGGGGAGTGCTTGACAGCTTCTCGTGTCCATCAGGGTGTGATATGTTGTGGGGGGATGTCATCGATACGTTCATCTTTGAGTACGACAAAAACATGGCTACAAAGGAGACCAACTCTTGCGTACATTCTGCATGTGCATGCTATGTTGCTCCCATCTTGCACTATAACTGTGTATCGTTACTCTTTTTCATCCTCAACCACATATGTCTTTAACCCTTCTGCCTCAGTGAGTGCTCGAACTCGACATTTAAAACACCCTTTACTTATTTCCTTTTGGATCTCATAAAAAATAGTCAAGGTGTACACTGTTGTTGCTGATCGCTCAATGCGTAGTGGTGTCTGAAAATCTGGGGTATGTACATGCAACTTGCGCTTATTTATAGGTTGTTCTTTCGTTGTTTTCTCATCGCACGCTCGAAACGGGTGAAAAATTCTACCATGCATAAGTGCTTGTTCATGTTACCTTGGAAAATCCTATTCTCCACCTCTTAACGGGAAGTGGTACGTAGTAGCCCACCCATGAACACATCATCGAAAAATGCGGGCACCCATGACGCACGCTCCTCGTACATACGGGTTAGCCATTGGTTTTCATGTAGGTTGTATTTCCCAATTACTGTTTTCCACCCAATCTCGAATTCTGTTCTCGTTGATTTCTTGTTCCACACAACACTATTCAATGCCCTGCGGAACTCATTATTCTTTGACATGTCAGCCCCCACTTTCTTGCTAACCTTAGTCATTATGTGCCACATACAGTAACGGTGTCGACTACCTCCAAACATATCTGCGATTGCAATTTTCATAGCTGGGTCTTGATCGGTTATTAATAAAGGTGGTGCAGTCCCCATTGCGTTCTTGAAGTGTTTTAATGCCCAACTATACGACTCCACGTCCTCCTTATCAATCAGGGCCGCTGCAAACGTCACACATCTTTTGTGGTTGTCTACTCCTGTGAATGGGACAAACACAAGGTGGTACCTGAATCCAATATATAGCAATAAAACGGTCGTCACATATTTGGCAAAATAATTCAAGCGCAAACAGTATAACACATGTACAGACCTACTGTAAAGCTCGCACATGATATACACACACGCACAGACATACAACCTATGCAGAGACTGCCCTTTAATTACATTATACGTAGTTACGCAAAGATACACGCACCATGCGAGTCAAGAACTAACTTACACACACGCACAGTCCTACTTATCATGCACATCATACTCTTTAATTCCTGTATACGTCGTTACCCAAAGATAACCTCATCATTCGCCACAAATTTTAATTTACACACCCATCTATTTAAATTAACTCTCTCATACCTATTTGTTTTGTACGTTGCATCAAAGAATACCACGTCGCCAAACGCACCGTAGTTTTTCCTTGTCATACCATCCGCCCAGAAGACACGAGCTAATTGATCATTTGCGTTCACCTCGTATTCGAAGTACATATCAGCACAATATGTTTTCTGCTCAAGATAGTTTGATATAATCATTTGCACATCTCCCCACTTCATGTACGCTAATAGCTCTCTCCTGTAATTCTTAAAGTCCTGTTGCGTCGCACCCACGTTCTCCGGACCACCTACCATCTCGGCATATATGTCGAAACTTTTGCTTGCACCAACGTTTGCTTTTTCGCACTTAGTAATGAATTCTTGGTGTGCAATCTCCAATTTGCGATTGACTTTCATAAATGGTTTGTGACTTTCCTCGCACAGACAGTGTGTATGTCTTTCTTCAAATTTGTGAACCTTATATCTCCCGTCGCAAACTATCTTCATTACAATCCTAGCGCCGCAACCAACTCTATTAGTGGTCTGCCGTCGCTTCTTCTCCGAACATCCTCCTTCAACCAAAGTTTCTTTGCCCCTAGTCTCCTTAAACCCTTGCCGCGAACACACTACATCCTTTTTCAAAACAATACCGAAATTGTTCTTTTTATCCGAACTTCGACGCACATCAAATCCGGTTGTTGCGGCATACTTCGTATAAAATTGGATTCCATCTTCCAGTGTATTAAACATTTGACCTTCATATGGTCTCAGGCTACGGTCGCATTTTGTATACCAATATTTCGTACCTCCCGGACTAATATCCATTCTGCAATCTTTTTCTGATTCGTTTGCATCGGGGGCGTCTGCACTGCACACACCTATAACATATGTTTCATTAACCTATTCATAGTAAACCACAAGTCATCTTTTTATCATCAAAATAATTAATCTGCGTATGGGTTTTTAATTCGTTGCACATGTTCATTTTCTGCGGTGCACTTACCCAACACGCAACTTGCACATGTTTAAACCCTAGAATGCACAGGCCGTGAATATAACGTCCAATAAACGTGTTACTTACTACACCTGGCTTAGTAAGTCCCTCGCAAAGGATGAAGCATTAAAAAAAAAAAAAAAAAACAAAGCGTATACACCAATAGTGATGATGAAAAATTGATATACAGGAGAATTAAACCAACATTGCACAAACAAAACAATTATCCCATACTCAACACATACCATATATGCTCTGTAAATGTGTTCGACTGGATATCTCCAAATAACATATGTACACACTCCACCCAAATAATGCTAACAAAGCAAAACCAATCAGAAATAACTTTTTCAGCACCACCTTATTGAAAACAACAATGGTCATTTGCACACTCCATTACATATCGCACAACCCCCCTAACGAATTACGATCTGGGGCAAAAACAAAAATTAAAAAAATACAACAATAATAAATAAATAAATAACCTCGTCATCGTCCGATTCGCACAACACCCCATCAACAAATCAACACCTCAAACAAAACCACCACGCCGGTAGAATACAAAAACACATAAACAAGAAAATAAAAATCAATACTCAGAAACCAAAAACCCCCCTTCGTAAAAATAAGTGCAGTGAACGCCACCCTCATGCACTCATTAGACACCCACGCTTCGAAATGCACTACGGTGTCCCGATGCACAGACTCATCATAATATATGCACACCAATCTAGAAACCTATAATAGTTCGAATAATGATGCACATACCTATGTCCGGTAGCACCATCACTGTGGCCGTTGATGTAAAACAACCGCTGCTCCTTGAGACTGTTTGGTGAATGCTTGTGTCCAGGAATCATCAGAATATCAATACTAATATATTACCGTTCATAATTAATCCAATCCCATAATCATATGCTAATCATGGAATATATTCCAATTTATTTGTAACCATAAATATCTATTATATTACAATTACTTATTCACCCTTATGCATAGACTACTACCTAAAATGCATACAAAATCTATTTCAATCTCACCCTTAAATATTAATTGATCTAATGAATATGATTAGATCTCATAAACTCATCTAACTATGTGACCTCATGGGATCCGGAACATATATATATATATATATATATATATATATATATATATATATATATATATATATATATATATAGTGTGTGTGTGTGTGTGAAACTAAGTATGGGATGAAGAATGTCAATAGAGGAATTTTAACATTCTGGCAGTAATACATTCAAGCTTAGAGCAAGTTCAATACTGTGGATTTTTTTTCAGGCCAAGTAAAAAGACAAATTTGGAGGGAAAAAATGAAAAATTTAGTGTAAAAAAAGAAAGAAAATAGAAAAAACCTAAATTTATGTGCCTGTGGTATCTGGTGTGCACAACACGCATTAAAATGCTTTATTTTGGTTGTTTGTTTATCTAGTAGTCTCCACAAATTTCAATATAGAAAATATTATGAAATATTATGTCTACTTTGAATTTTTATTTCTACAAATAAAATCTTGATATTGACACTTGTATTAATATAATTTTGTTTTTCGTAGGCACAGATTTTATTGACACTTGTATTAACAATTCTTCTACGGATTTACAGGTTTTGGTGAGCAGAAAGCATGAAGCCGAGGTAGCTGCAGCTAGCTATAGAATATAGATAGCTAAAAATTACTGTCACCATCTAAGTAAGCATAGAGCTGAGTTATGATTCTAAAATTTCCAAATCTATCTGATCTGATCTCCACCTCCTCTGGCTTCAATTATATTCCCTCATATCATTTGCCTGCCTGCCTGCCACCACGTACACTCACTTATTCTTCTTTCCACCAGCAAGAATACGTTGAATCTGAAGGCCTCGGCTGAAGGCTTGGTTGAAAAGCAACCTAGTCTGGAACTCTGACACAAATGGGAACCATGCCAGAAAAGCCACAGGTGCAAGGATAAACAACCCCATTATGTACTCGTACCCTCTTCCCAATGCCTTCACAGATCCCCACATTCCCACGCCCTTCACTATTGGCCTGCATGCTTGTGCTATCTGCACGCACACCATATGTTTTTGTTATATGTACATAAAAGCGCACAATAATGAAAATAAGGATATAGGATGTTAAAATATCCGATCATATCGAAACTTTCAGCATAAATATATATATATATATATATATATATATATATATATATATATATATATGCACCTGCAGAACAGCCCATCCTGTTGGCAGGAAAGCCAGTAAGCTGGCAAAAATATCTCCCACAGTGAGACTCAAGAATGAGAACAAGATGACTAGGATTACTATGAACCCAATGAAAAGGAACAACTTCAGAAGCCTGAACATTAGCTGGAAGTCTGCACTGAACTTCTTCTTGCCCATCGACACTATCTGCACATAAACAATGCATTCAGATACACATCAACCACTCGATCTAGTGGCCTGGGAAGAGGTAACCACCGCTATTTCATAACTCAACAGTAATTTCCCATTATAATATGCTAGAGAGATCAGAAAGAAAAGCTTCACTCGAGACCTTGAGCTCAATCTACTAGGTACTAACCTTTAATATGATTATGACTGCCACAATAACTAGCCAAGACAGACCATAGACCTGTAATAACATCGGAAATATATACATTAAAATGTGATTCATGAGTTGCTAGCAGAAATTAAGAAATCAGTTAAGATGTTGGCTCTCAAAATTATAGAACATGAAAAAGATACACATCAACTGCATGGTCAGTAATCTAACATAAGTTAACTGATACACAATATAATCTATCAGAAGGCCAGGCAGAACAAATTAAAATATGATTATCTATTAAGTAAGAGGTACTTACCATGATGCTCTTACTGTTGTTGGCAACATGTAGCTGATAAACTATGCCATACTGGTAAATTAAGAAGCGGAAGGAAAGCAGAACTTCACAGATACGTCCTACTAATCCAGTGTACTGGAGATGCTCTTGTTCCTCCTCCCACCATGACTCCCAACTTTTGGTTGCAGGAACACCAATTCCACCTCGGTTACTAATCCACTTATTCCAGTCATCCCAGTCATCCACTATCTTTTGCCATTCAAATCCCGAAGGATTGAAAAGGAAAGGAGCAAACAGTAAAGAAACAACGAAAAACCACATTGAAAAAGAGAGGAACAAGAAAGATACAGAATCCGGAGCTGCTGAGCCATACATTTGATAAACTATGAGCATCATCATTATTTCCAGACCTTTAGTAAAATGGCTCCTTGAATACATTCTGTAGTTTTCAGCAAATTTCTCATGTCGCACAACAAAACCACGTCCAGTTGCTCTGTATTTAGCTCCACCATGTAAAATAGTGCGACCAAAATAATGAAGCTTTGTTCCCAGAGAAAAGGTGAAGAATACAGCTGCAAGTTGAAACTGCATAATGATCATATCACCTAGAGCAGTTCTAAACCCTCTTTCAAGTCCAACCTCCATAATCATGGGCAAAGCCATCAATAGACCAAGTTGAACAATAGACTGTGAAGCCATGGCAGCCTTAAGAGCATCATCCCCCTTAGATCTTGCAAATTTAACTATTGCCTTTTCCATTCCACTCAATGAAAGATAGAGTTTTCCATACAAAAATGCATAAACTGTAAGGACCACAATCTGCATCATAAAGTAACAGTCATATCATTAGCAAAACAAAATATAAAAGAAGTTTGAAGAATTAGAATTTCCAAATTCCAAGCAACCTACTATTCAAATGAAATGTAACTGGAGTTTCCAAACTGTACAACTGTTTCGGGTAATCTATATGAGCAGTATCCTGCACTCATAATTATTCCTGTTCTTTATTAAAAAGGCTTTGGATATAATAACATTAGTGATCTATTAGATACTGGATTCCTAATTTTCTCATTCTTGTCTCTTTCCAACTTCTCTGTTGATTACAAATTTGGTAAAACATATAGCAAATGTACCCTTCACTTGTAAAGCTATGATTCAAAAGAATGTGTTCAAAGATAGAAAGTAGAAACCATAGTGTAGCCCTAGTTGTAACATAGCCCATTATACTCCTATATAAAATCATATATCTCCCTAAGAATATACACAACACAATATTAGTATTATTATTAATATACATCTCTTCTAGTTTCTCATATGCTGAGTTTCCACTTAACTGGTAGAGTGGCAGGTGGTGACTATTCGCCATCCTTTAGATCTTTCAATCCCTCAATCTCAACAAGAACGGATGAATGATAAATATAGTTTCAAAAGAAACAACAGATCTACTAATAGCAACTTGTAAATGCAATATACAGAACAAGCCTTAGTTTCATTTTGTGAGCCCCTATTTCCAATTTCAGTAGCAATTTCACTCCAAATCAGCCAAGTTAAGAAAGGAAGCAGTGCCAATGATTAATGAAAAGCAATATAATTACCATTGAACTGACATAAAAGCCAGTGGTTGTGAAATAGCAAGATAGCATTCGGAAAAAGTCAAAACGATGTCCTAATCTATAGACATCACGGCTGATTGTCTGCTCCCCATTACCACATGCAACTTTTGCCTCAAAAAGAGAGATTTGGTTAAGACCAACATCTCGTCCCTTTCCCACTTGGATGTATTCATGGTGGGTAACATTTCCACGTCTCAATGTTGAGTTAAAACCTATTAAGTTAAACATGTTAATGAGAAATTTCTGAAGTTTTGTATGATTCAAAAAAACTAAATTTAAGATACTACCTGCAAATATGTCCTCACTAAGATTGATGCCCCTAGAAGATTTACTGATGCCACCACGGGTAATATGGAAAATTCTGTCGAAGACATCTGGATGTCCATAGTGGAACCGAACCCTGAATCCAACAAATAAACAACAGTTAACACTAAACATTTAGCTCTAAGTCATGACAATCTTTCTGATAAATCTTATCAAAGGGAGATCATCAAATTATCCTTCTAACAAATAAATTTTGGTTTACCCTAATCAAAAGTAAATTCAAGCCCATAGATTTGTTAGCTGTGTACAAGGTAGAGAGCATAACAACAAAATAAATGCATCACTAGACGGACAAGATGACAATCTTCCCACTCCCTTAACAGAGCACACATTTTCTCTTAATACTATTTCTGTCATTTGCATTTGGATTTTATTGAAGAAAGATATTATCCATGTATCAGACAGTCACCTGGATATCACTTCAGTATACAAGATGCATGCTTTGATAATACGAGTAAATAGTTAAGTGGTTAAAGAAGAAGGAACATACTTCAAAGGCCTTGCAAGAACTCTCTGACCAATAGTAACAAAGCTCGTCTCTTGCATTGACATAAACCAAGCCAAAGAAGAAACACTGCAGTTCATGGGTTGATGGTTCATCAGATATAATTAATCTGATTGTATAGGTATGACCCAAAGCTCAAGGGGAAAAACAAATTCTCCAACCTTCCAGTGAAGATATGCTCCCGGACACCCAAAATTGTAGGTGCCAGTACACCATGATTTTCATTGAACTCCTCAAGAAGGTTACGCATCTTAAAAGCTTCTTCCAAGTAATTATCCTGCAAAAGGAAGAAGCAATAATTATTTAAAAACCTGACAACATCCTTCTAATGATTAAAAAAAATCAAGAGGATTGAGAGATCACCTGATTCATGTCAATGGTTTGAAGGGCTTCACCGCGAGAAAAGACGATAGCATGATTCTGATTTTCCGGCTTTCCTTCTCCTATCTTTGCTGATCCTGGTAATTTTATTCGGTAGATTTCCTTAAATCAGAAATGACAAAAGAAAATCAGAAGTTGAGCACAACAAAATAACAAATTAACTATCCTAGGACTAGAACAACCACTACCTGGTCAAGGTTATCAACAGCTTTTACCAAAACAGAATAATAAACCTTTTGAACTTTTCCACCAACCCTTTCTTCAACTTCATCAATATAAGCAACACGGAGAGATGGATTGCTGTGACAAAGAAAGTATGACGAAACAATCAACTACAGCCTTTGACTGACGTGTATTTGGAGAAGTTTACAGTTTATCACTCAGAAACGTACTTGACCAACAAGTTCAATATATCTGTTGCACGACGATCTCCACTTCTCTTCTGATTCCCATAGTTCTGGCATGTTGCAACATATGTGAATTTAATGTCAGCTACAGCCTCTAATTGTGCATGCAATGATCTGTGACTTTTCTTGTCTTCTTCAGATGGAGTTGTGACAGCTTTGTAGCCTTCAAGAATCTCTGTGCATTTAAAGATGACAATTAGAATGCAGAAAATTGACCAAGAGGAAGTAATTGGAAATAGATCTGGCTGCATTAAAATGTATGCCAAATATACTAAAGAAACATAAAACATCAATCTTTACAGGAAATACATATCACACCCTGTTTACTTATTATACATGCAAAAGTTGCCTGTGTAGGCTCCCACTTTCATCACTGATTTGGGAGTATCCACAGTATATTAAAAAGCAGGGAAGAAAACAAAGATAGAATGAATAAATAAATGCTCTATATGACATAGTTTTCTTCTTCTTCTTTTAATAAAAAAGGAACTTATATATTAGAAAATGTATGTTGATATCACAAATTCTAACTGAAATAAGTGACTGAACCTTTACACTCAAAACCATTGATAAAAAGTATATATGTGCTAAAGCCAAATGCATAAAATATGTTCTGACTTCTGACAATGACATAGTGGCGAAGCTTTAACTCCTAGTCCTCTTCAAATTATGTTCATATACCTAGTTTCATATTTTGGTTGTTAATCTATGAAAATTAAACGCCATTACTAGCCTAAATTAGTTAATAAAATAACTCATAAAATATGGAGAACTCAAATTCAAAGTGTTGTCAATGCAGCAGGGAGCACATAACCATTTTTCTCCAACAGATATACTATAATGTAGTGTAAAAATGTTTAGAAGCTAGATTCTTTACACTGTTTACTAGTCATTTTATTGTTATTACCTCCCTCTGTAGCCATGTCAAGAAAAGCTTGAAGCTTTAAAGCCCTTCTGTAGTACATCATCCCTCTAACTGAAATAAGCCCAATATGTATTGGTAAAACAATGCAGTAGGAAATAATGAATATGAAAATAAATATGGAAAAAAGTAATCACTGACTAACCAGTTCTGCAGAGAGTCTGTCCCCTTAAGGAAGCCCAATGGCGTAGCTGGAATATGTTTTCTTCATTTTCCCAGATCTCGTGCTCCTTTTTACATCCAAGACGCTCCATGAAGTTATTCCATTCATCTATATCATAATGATTGTCAATGAAACAACAGAAATCAAAGAAAAGAAATATGATAATATAAGACAAGAAATGACACCCTAATGCAATGACAAGTGAAACCTGGATAAATCTTTTGGAGGTAGTAAATAATTGATACACCATCTTCATTTTCCATCTCAAGGTCACTCTTGGAGTATACAGTTTCCTCACTATAGTATGGAGTCATTACACTGCATTACAAATCCTATGATTAGAATTTGCAGCAGGATGTACAGTAATTAAATTGACTAGTACTGCCACTCAATTGAGATATCCAAGAACCATTGATTACTATGTAAAGATAAACTACTTTAAGGTCACTATCTATAATAAGTTTGGATAGTATGACAAAATATTCTGCCCTGCTTTATGATTATGGTTAAGTAAATGACTCCTAACTATTCTGGACTGATTGCAAACTTTATTTCATCTCCAGAATACAAATACGACACAGGAGAAACCAATAAGAAAAGAAGAAAGCTTGTGTTCATGACAGCCTTTGTATGTCAAGGAAATTGGTGAGCTCTAAAACAAATTAATCCTTGCTTTCTGCATCCCATCCTGCTTCCTACCCAAGAAAATAAATAGAGGGGAGGGGGGACCTAGTATCCTTTCTCGTATGCATGAGGGGAAGGAGTACACAGTATATATCCACCTGAATGAAAGCATTTTGTGAACTCGAGGTGCACGTGGCATTTCCATGAATAATGAATTTGCAAAAAAGGAAATTCTTCGCCGAGCTTCCAGATTCATAGGGACTTCAATAGCAGATTCTTTGACAGTCATGAGGAGACACAGACGTCGGATCTTTGATAAGGACAACATTGATCTTTATTAGTTAGACATGAGCATGTGTTTATAAATTGATAACCACTGCCTCTGTGCTAATTATTATCATCAATGAACAATTAAGATACCTGCTCTTCCCATTGTGCTGTCATTTTAAGGGGGAAGACTATTGCTGGTCTTGAGTCATGACTGGCAAAGAGTTGCTTTCCAGAATCCTTGCTAAGTTCTATCAGTTCACTGAATTGAAATTAGCAAAGAAAGCAATTGATTGTCATACACCAATAGTCAAGAACAAAGCTATGGTTTGAGGGTGATAAAAACAGTTCCTTCTATATTGCACAAAATTCACCAACCGGATTTCATTCACCATCATGTCACGGGTAACTATTTCCAACATGTCTTGCAGTGCTAGAACAACATTGTCTTTCTTGGATCTATCACCATCTCTCTGCAACATGAAAGTAGAGTATATATTTTGTTGTATATGAATATTGCATCTACAGCAGAGAACTTGTATCCAAACTTACTCACCAATAATTCAACTAACTCCACAAATTTCTTAAAAAGATCTGGGAGCAGAGCCATCCGGAAATTTTCAAGGAATGTATTTCTTGAAATGTTACTTTCAATTTCCTTGATGATGACTCCAATGATTCTATCACATATAAATTAGAAATAGGCGTTAGAAGATACTGATGTAAGATCTGTAAGTAAATTAAGAATGCTTGCAAATTTAAAGATGCTGAACGAAGTTGACTGGTTAGGGAAATGATAATGAAGAAACCTTTTCTCAGTCTCCCCCACAACCAGGGTATTCAAAACAAGCTTGAAAGATTCATAGCATTCAATGACTGCACATTTCATGTATTCATCTGCACATATACGCTTCCAAAGGTCTGCATCTTTTGGCCGAAATTGAGCAGCCATGTCTAATGCAATTGGGATCTGCGAAGGAGGCAAACAGTCAGATTCTACATTAATTGGTCCATGCAAAAATCTCAAGTGCTATAGTAGAACGCACTTACTTTACTAGCTAGCAAAAAGGGTGGCCACTGAATTATTTTCAGACTAGGATCTGAGGAATAAGGAACTAGCAACAGGTCCATCTCTCTGAGTTAATCAAACACCTATTTCAGTTCCATATGCAGGCACAAGGTAAAATAGAAACGGGGATAAAGTTAAGAACAGGATAAAATGAACAATAGAATTGAGTTTAGAGACTTTTCCTATCACTTATAATGTCTTCTTCCCTGAAACTGCATATTACTTCATTCCATAACTGAGCAAACTTGGCTGCTTCAGTTCTTCTGCTTGGTGAAACCTGAACATGCAAAAGAATGTGTTATAAATTTTTAACACACATTGATGGGTCCAACCCAATTGGTACTATCTACTTTGTCCAAAGAGCCTCGTATGTTTGTCCACAAAATGTGCCTCACTATTTTCATATCTCATGTAATTTAATATTTGCATACTTCTTCCCAATTTTTTGCCATTTTAAACCTTGTAAAAGAATATCAAAGAATAAAAAGACGAGAGAACCTCATGAAAACGTTTTGAGAGAGAAAATCCCTTCTTCCTGGTTCTTTCAGAAGGAACCAAATATGTATTGAAGGCTCCAGGTAGAGACTGGAATCTTGATCTTAACATGCCAAGAGTTCGGATCTACAAGAATAAAGCACTTATGATTTAAAAGAGTACTTTTCAAATGATTACCATGGCCTGTGAAGGATATATATTCATGCAATTGGCAATAGCTTCACCTCTACAGAATTCACTACCATGCTTCTAGACAATTTCAAATAACCAAGTTAATCCCAATTCCCACATGCTTGCAACTCTTTCTTATTTTAAACAAGAAAAATGTTAGAGCTCTGATAATGAATTACCTCACCAAGCCGATCAAATGCCCCAATAATACCACCACCCAGGGTTGAAAAAATTGCATACCAAATTTGGGTATCCATAAAGTACACCTGCAATAACATTTGCAAGAGTACACACTTGCCTCAGCACAGTTAATCTCTATTCTTTACACTATGGGAAACAGGTGGTACGAAAATTTTAACAAATTGAAAATAACACAGAAAAATAAAATAAAAGAAAGAAGATAAGATACCAAAATCACTGGGGCCCAAAGGGCAGTAACAGCTCCATAGTTTATATCAGCTGCATTGGTACAACACCTCTCAGTATGAGAATAATTAAAGAGGTCAATGGAGATGAACTAAAAGAAGAAACAAATTAGGACAAATACCATTTGGGAAGAACTCATGCCAAGCAAACTGAATATGATGAATATTCATTATATCTTTTGTTGGCCTTACCAGAGGTTTTATCTGGTGCAACAAAGAGACTATACTTAGTAGAAACTATGTATCCTGATCCAAGGAATAGAACCGAAGAGATGTTGTAACTACCTGGACAAAATAGCTAAATGCAAATTTGCAACACAGAAGCAGCACCCAGAATAAAGTATACCTGGCAAGGGAAGAAAAAGGTGAAGAGGGCAGATGCCAAAATCAAACAGAAGAAAAGAAAGTAATTAGAATTTATATAAAATATACTTTATCAGTGCGAATTGACTTTCATGCATCCCCCTTCCCACATAGATTCTAGGCTGAAAAGGGATAAAAACAAAGAAAAAGACATTGAGGTCAAATATAAGGTTATAAAGTACTCAATAGGAATATGCATGGGGAATAAAAGATGGAAGATTGAGAGTAGTGCATAATGCAGCATCCGGAGCAACAAATATAAAAGCCATGAAAACTTTTGTCAATACAAGACTGGAATTACAGCTCCAGGAAATGAAAAAGAAAGTCGAAAATATATTAAAAACCTATTTTGGTTCATTAGATATGCTCATATGCATTTTATATTAATTAATACAGAGCAGTAACTATTTTCCCCAGAGATTTAACATTTGCCTACAATTCAAACCTGATCAGGAACTATAAATTATAAGCTTGTCATCTGGCTGATACAAAGAAATTAACACACAAGTGTATCTTATTACATTTTTACTTCAAATTCAATGCATGTCAAGTTCTATCTATGTTTATATGCACACAGATGGATAGTCGTAAAAGAGCGTACTATGTTTGCACAGCTCACTTTACAGTAGGAAAGAATACCTGTGACCACCATAGAAGAAATCTTACAACAAGCCAATCTGAGCTCTCTATCCAACGTCGAAGCATTGGGAACAAAAATAAAGCTGCTGCAAGTAAATTTGGTAGCAGGTATATAGCCACAGCCATGGCATACAGTGGTGGAATGCCCTTAACTCTATTTAGAAATGAAAATGCATCCCTAATCTGGGCAAAATTGAAGGAGTTGTTTTGATGGACGTAACACAGTGGAAGGATGATACTCCAAGCCAGGCTAACAATGATCTTCAAAATATTCCTCAAAACATCTGTAAACATCCATCTATGATAGCCCGGAAAGTTCAAAATAAGGTCCAAAATACCTAGTTTCATAGATTAAGAAGAAAGGAAAAGAAAATTAATTTTCCAATCAATACAACTCAAGGCTAAAAATTACAAATGTTTAGAAACTCAAGACCACCACAATATCAAACTTGTTCTACCCGGAATTCCAAAACCAAGAATTCAGTCTTAAGTATTATTGATTTATTGTACAATCCAAAACTGTCCCATTGGCATTATATATTAGCTGAGAGAAAAGGCTATGGAAGATGCCTAGAACATATAGAAATAGAACCCCTGAAAACCGAATAGTTGGCAAACAAATACAGAGTGTACGTTAATGAGAACTCTAATTGTCATCTTCCCACACCTTTTCCAAAGCATCAAATCTTAGGACTAAAAGGTAGGGAGAAAGAGAGCTAGTGCCTACAGACATGCAGAAAAATCTAATAAATCTTTTTATGCTTGAATGTAATTAATGCAGCAAAGACGAAGAAGGGCATACTTTGAAGGAAGCGAAGAAGGGCTGCTGTGATGAAAATACTCGACAGATCATATAGCACATCCTTCCGAAATATATCCAATAGAGAAATATCACTCCATGCAATTATAATCAGGGCCTAAAACAGCACAGTCCAATAGTTACTGGCATAAGCATCTAGTGATAGTAGCAAAAGGGCAGTTGATTCATTATTATTAATTTTTGAACAGGTTACCTGTAAAGCAAGAATGAAAAATGTCCAGAGGCGGTCAAAACTTCGAAAGGTATGCCAAAATGATCTGGTCTCGGCAAAATACGATTTACCCATCCTTGCAGGATTTTTGTCAGAAGTTCCTTTGCCCTGGGATAGCAGTCATATAAAGTAATAAGGAATATTATCATCCATATGAAGCAATTGATGAATAAATAGTGTGAGTGTACTTTAGATGTGTCTCGTGTAGATTTGAAGAATTCTCCATCATCACGCATTGGCCAACCCAAAGAAAAGCAATCTGAACACCTGGGCAAAGTCAACCAAATTATTATTATAATATGTAAAAGAAGAAAAAAATGCAAGCAATCACTGCATGTTTTAATATTAAACAAGAAATACAATGTTCAACTTGAATTCTTAAATACCAGAAATACTCATTCAAATCATCATAGTTGCACCAAGCGGTGTGTGGTGCTTTTCCATTTTTGCTTTTCTTAGCCTCCTGGAGAAATGTAATCACTATTTCACTATCTTTGACAAGATAAGCCCAATAATTAATAAAGTACTACAGGATTGTATAAATAGTACCTTGTCAATCACTTGATAAATGGGAGTAATGACCTTCCGCAGGAAAGATTCATCATCCCCACCATAAGAAGGCTTGATGTTTTCACCAGTGACAATGCTAACATTTCCAGCTAAGAGACCATGAAGTTCATATGCCATCTAAACAAATATTTGGAAAATGATATTACTTGTATTAATTTATAATTACTCTGTACATTCTTATATAATTATCTGTATATTTTGAAAATTGAAATGGTGCCAGTTCAAGAGTAAGATAACTGCAACTCACATTGTGGAAGATATAGCATAGACACTCTGGCATGAAACGAATGTTAGCTGCCTCACCCCAGATTAGAAGATAAAGGCCCATGTAAAGTATTCTTCTTTGTTTCACTTCCTGATCTCCTTGAGGGAGTCTAAAATCACCAAGAGGCACATTAAATGAATTTATTTACAATATATATTTGCATATTTATAGCCCCATGCACATCTGTATAATAGTTTAATTCAGAAATCATCTATCTGAAGATATGCATGTGAAAGAAATCCATTGGAAAGAAAACTGGTTGAAAGTGGAAACTCCTAATACCTCACCTTAAACTGTGTTTCCTCCCCAAATATTTGCACCAATTTTTGTAGTTTTTGAAAAGCTTGTTCATGAGTGCATCAACAGCTCGACCATCAAGCTGTATGAAAACCACATATTTTCAGTACACTTTCTAGCCCTACTCTGGAGATTTATGGAGCAAGTTACAAACTCAAGACACATTAGGAAAAACTATATACAGTTTAAGTGTATGTATATTAATATATGGCTTTTTTATTCAACTAAACAGCCATAATATAATCTTAAGTAAAAGAGAGAACATAATTTCATACCATGTCTTGAAAATTGCACAATTTCAATAACTAAATACAGAATATTAACTAACAGGATAACTAAGTAATCCGACATATATGTTCTAAGGATGTAAATAACACCAAACTTAAATCTTGGTATAAAAAATGGAAACATGATTTGTAATGAGCAGACAATATTTAGATTCTGAATATCCCGGCTAGTGCAGCAAACCAGAAGTTGTGAATTTCAAAGCACAAAAATATTTGCAGCTTAACATGATAAGTTTTTCTTGCCTTGTTTTGTGGCTCTGGTTTTGGAACCAGCCTTGAATGGATATTGGCAAGCAGTAGAGTTAGATGTTCCCGTTGGTTCCTTACATTGTCTCTCTGTATACAATAAATAGACCAATGAAACTTTGACATTCATAAAGAATGGAACTCAGTCTAAATGACCAGTACCCTTTTTTGGATGACCAATTTGTACCTGAAACCCAAACATGGCCCTTAGCCAATCCAAAAGGTCGAGCTCCCCAGCTCTCTGCCTTTGCTGCTCAAATGAGGCTGGCCAACTCAATCCATGCGTGTTTGAAAGAGCTGCCACGGCAGCTTTAACCTGGAGAAAACAAAAAAAAACAAAAAAAAAAACAAAAAAAAAAAAAAAAAAAAAAAAAAAAAAAAAAACAAAACAAAAAAAATCCATCATCATTCAGACTAACTTGTTTAATAGAATCTGTACCCTATATGTTTGGATGCAAAATTTCACCTCTTCAAGCTGCATGATAGATTGTGAAGCTCCTGCAGAATCAGGGGGAATGATGTTATAGGGAGCATAGATTTCCTTCTTTGCCTGAACATCATTTGCTGCTGCAATAATCTGTTTAAACAATTCATATTTGTTATGATCTTCTCTGAATATAATTCTTTCACAAAAGCATGAAAGCATCATAGGCAAACAGCAAACTAATATCTGAATTCTGAACAATAAGTGTGCAATCCTATAGAGTGTTATTACAACTAACCTCAGGAGCAACTTCTTCAACTTTTTCAGTCTTGTTGACAGCACAAAGAACCTCAAATAGCACTCCAGCAGTCTGGTACGCTTTGCCAAGCTGAGCTCTGTTAGTAAAATATTAAAACAATTAACACCAAGTACGCTTTCCGACAACTTTTTCCGCATAGTAAAAGGGAAACTATTATATTAAGTCTCTGCATACCTATCTGCTTGTTCACCCTTGTTAAGTGCCACAACATACTGCTCATAGTATTGCTTATAGAAACTCTCTATTTCTCGTGCATCAGTCTTCTTCACTCGAGAAGCAAGACTTGATGCATTGTCCTGAAACGGATTACTATTAGCAAACCTCTATAGTATGTCAAAGGAAGCATATTTCCACTAGCCTACTGCAGTTCCTAGCAACTGTTCACATGTTTCCTACTGGATGTTCAGTTGTGAGCACTTCAATTCTATAGATTCTGAATGCATCTTTATAAAGGGAAATTGATGCACTCCAATTATTATTCATTTTGGAGCATTCAAATGTTGAATGCATTAATGTTTGCAAATTGCAAGGAGTAAAAGGGCAGATTGGAGAATTGCTTTTTTTTAATGTGATGTGAAATTGAGAGAATATTGCAGGAATATAGAGAAAGTAATAAAGATATTTCAAATTGATAAATGTCAACAGTTAAAGAACCATTTATAGTCCAATTGAAAGTCAGAGATAAAGTTGGTAAATACCAATAGTTAAGAGACAATTCTTGGAATAAAATAGTTTAATTAATATCCATGGTGTTAGATAGGAATAATTAATATAGAGTAACAAATAAATTAATAGTAAACCTATTTTTCCAATTTTACCTATAATATCCATCAAATAACCAGATTGACCTAAACATCAACCAATTGTTATACTATGAATCAGGGCCCACCTTACATTATGGACATTGGTCTAAAAATCATGTGTTTACATTTAATATATTATGTGCCTTCAATTAATAAATTATGTGTCTATAAATAAATTAAAAAATATATAATTTGCTAACTGCATGCACATAATATATAAACGGTAAAAACATAATAAGATGTAGTAACGTAGAAAAATAATAGTTAATATATTATGTGCCTACGGTGCTTTCAATTTATTTACACACATAATCATCTTTTATCTGCAGACACGTAATCTGAATATAATTTCGAATTAGAGTCCACAGTGAAAAATGGACTTGCTCCATGGTATAATTTGCCAACGTCAAATGGATATGTTGAATTGAATCTAACTTGATATTATCCAAAGCAAGTCAACGGAAAACGACAAAGTGATGATAGCAAATTAGCAATGCAATAAAATGCAGATGGAATAAAAGGTACATACACGCTCTAATCGTTGATGGAGAGCGGTTTTGAATTGACGCACACCACGTCCACTCGAGGTAGGGTCCAATCTGTGCGCCTTCTCGAAAGCGTAGAATCGACCTGAGTGAACGTAACAAAATAACCAAAATAGGAGGAACAGTTAGGGCTTCAAAACTGGAATTCAAAAGAAGCTTCACATCGCATTTGTATACGATAGGAGGCCATGTGCGTACAAAGATATGCAACTCGAGGGCGTTCGTTTTGGATCTCTGTGGCAACGCGGAGGATAGGTGAAATGGACTGAAGGGACGAGGGGACGACTTCGGTGTCGAACACTTCCCCCATGGAGAAGGTGGTCATGGCGGAATTGCGTGAAGCCCGCCGCATCAGCGACGGCAGCCCCGACGGGTCCAGACCTCTTGGCGACGTCATTTTCTCTCTTCTCCTCCTCACTTCACTATTCTTCGTTTAGAGACGCAAACTAGCTTCAATCTACACTACCTCAAACAGGTTCATCTCCTCCTCTCCATCATCAACCCTCTCTTCCTTCCTTTCGCTCTAAAATCATATCAATGCAGAAGTAGGTCAAAAAATGATGATATACGTTGGCATTCACATTTCCATATTGATGCATTCATATTCAATATATTTTGGATGATCATATGAATGAGTGAACGAATTCTAGAGATAGAAAGAGAGATGAATGCGGAAACTTATATCTGATCGGGAGACAACGAGAGGCCGGACAAGTTTATGGAGTTGAGACAAGCTAGGAAGTAGGAAAGGATGAAATGTAAGAGCAACCCAATGGATTCATTTTTTAGCTCGAGATTTCTTCTTTGGGTCCAAACCAAATAGGAAGAAATTTTTTTTTAGGGGAATTGACTGATTAAAATGAGAATTTTTAAAGGATGAAAATAAGAATGTTATAAAACTTGGAAAATTATTGGAACCGGTTTTGGTGTTATCAAATAGAAATTGCAAGTTTCAATATAATTTTGATTTTTTTAAAATTATTTCTTTGTTAAATCAGTAAATTGTGTGTGGCACTACATATATGCCACTCACAATTGCGACTTGCTTTTATGGACTGACACTTGCTTTTGTGGTACAAAGTGTTATTAAAAAAAAAAAAAAGGCCTGGTCGTCGCTGGATTGAAATCATCGAAACTCCAGAGCTACAACGAACCGCCGCCGATAATTCCGCTATCAAATTAACTAGCGCCGCTGCTAACTGGCCGTCAAGATAAGATATTTCATAGAGCTTCATGTATGATTCAAAAGCCATTAGCTCCTGCACTTGGTTCTCTTCTTCTGCCCTGGTTGCTACGTGAATCGCCTTCTCTTCTTCTCCTACCGCCTTAATCTGGTTCATTAATGATCCTTCATTACTAGTCTAGGTACACGAATAATACCCATTCTCGGAGCCTCATCAAACGGACCCGGAAGTTTCTTAGCTCTGAGTGGAATATGGCAAATTATATCAGGCACCTGGGAGCACAATGCATTGTGCGCCTTAAAAAATATGTGCATAATGCATTATGCGTCTTAAAAAATATGTGTATTATGTTATTAGTTTATGTGTATTATGTATTATGTTAAAAGTTTATGTGTATTCTATTATACAATTATGTATATACGAAATAGGAGATTTTTAGGGCCACAATGCATTGTACGTCCGACGCATGATATAACAATTGGTGGTAGGCTGGTGGTTATACCGTGGACTGCAGTGCACGTGCATCGCGGTCAAAATGGCGTTGTTTCTTTAAGTAAAGAAACGGCGCGCTAGTCAAAATGGCGTTGTTTCTTTAAGTAAAGAAACGGCGCGCTATTACTGTTAACGGAGCATGCATTTTTTGGTATGTTAATTACCAACTAAAACTACAGTGTATCTAAACTGACACTACAGTGTATCTAAACCGACACTGCCTCACGTATTATTTTATATATTATCAAATGAAACTGCAATTATATCAAAATGACACTGTAGTTGTGGTGAAATTAAATTGCAGTTTATATAAAATGAAACTGAATAACATTTCACATATTTGAGTGTATATTGTGCAATGAAACTGTAGTTATATCGAAATCATCATGTAGCTGTGTTTTAATGAAAATATAGTGTATATAGAATAAAATTAAATAACATTTTCACATATTTGAGTGTATAAATATCGAATGAAACTATAGTTATATCGAACTGAAATTGTAGTTGTGTTGAACTGAAACTGCAGTGTATACAAAATGAAACTGAATAACAGTTACATTTTGCGGATTCTTTTCATTAAATAAAATGACATCGTTTTGAAGTTCGGTGCATAATCGATTATGTACCACGGTGCACGATATAATTTGCCTCCTACCGTTTTATAGGCCCGGGACAAGTGAAAAAAGATGGCCCCATATCATATTAGAAATTAACATAAATTTTTATAATTAAATATATGCATACAAAAATACTAATTTCAACCAAATTGAAATAAACTTCAAAAATTTTCAATAATTTACAGATACAAAACTAATCATGAAAACAAAAAGATTTTATGTACTTTAATTTCGTAGATGCAAAATCATCGAATGACTTCCAAATTCCAATGTAAATCTACAAACTACTCAATTTGTTTATTTATTTATTTATTTATTTTTGCACTTTCAAATAAAAAAATTTTAGGCAACATTGTATAAAAAATATTATTATAAAAATGATTTAAAAATAAATAAAAGAACAAAAGATCATGTGAAGCACTTGTACAATTACACTTAGGATTCAATCAATGAAAGATCCTTATTCCGCTTAATCAAAAAATCCTTATTCCGTTTAACCGATAAACATGTGCCTTCAATCCCTTCATATATACACACAAAAATACATTACAAAACTTACAAAATAAAATATAGGGAAAAGTGCATTTTTCGTCCCTAAGTTATAGGGTAATTGTAGGATTCGTCCCTAAGTGTTGTAAATACCCACTTTTCATCCCTAAGTTATAAGCTATGATGCAATTTTCGTCCTTTTTCTAACAGAGGTGTTAAGTGACTGTTTAATGTAAGGGTAATTCTGTCCAAACACATTTAGGCTCATTATTAATTTAATATTTCCCTAATTATACTCTTTCCCTAATTATACTCTTGTACTCTTGCGTAGACTGGGTCATTTCTTTTATCATTTTTTCATATTTTAAACATGCAAAATTTATGATGTTAAAAATTGTTTTTGAGATGCTCCGGCTTGTAAGTACACAAAAATTTTAAAACAACACTCAAGACTTTCAATAAATATAATATTGATTTCTTTCAATATATTGAAATGTTGGTAGTTTTCAACACAAAAGACTTTCAAAATTAAAGTGATTCACAAAAATCATTCCAGAACTTACCTATTAACTACTTAGCTTGCCAAGCACCTTGTGCTCAGATGGCATGTAGTGACCTCTCCCATGTGGGAAGTCATGAGATCGAGCCTCAGTGGAGGCGTTGTTGACTCTTTGTGCTTCATTAGGTTGAGAAAGTATATTTGAACAGATACTACAATGTAATAGAGTCAGTAGCATTCAAAAAAAAAAAAAAAAAAAAAAAAAAACTACTTAGCTTGTATTAAATATTGGTTGCATTACAAAAAATAAAAATAAAAAATTTAAGATCTAAGCAGCCTTCTAAACCTACATACTAATTGATGCTATAAAGCATCATCTTCATTTATGTTGTTTGGTCTTTCTTGGTGCACAACCTTGACTCAATTTTCTTTTTCTTGGTGACTTTCCAACTGTCTGTGATGGAGTTGTTTCTCTATGTATCTGTGTGCATTGGGGACCAAGGAGTTATGTTCTGCAAACAAGGAATTAGATAATTGTAGTGCATTGAAAATCAAAGTTTTTGCAAATTTACATATTATCTTTAAAGAAAAAGAAAAATTTAAGAGTATTGACCAACCAATTCATCCTGCAAAGCATTAGAGATTATCATTTCAATGACATTATCATTTGGAACAAACCATGCAACAGCACCAGGGGGCTGGACTTAAACATTAGCAACTTCAACAGCAAGTGGTTCAACTTCAGCAGCTATATTAGCCACAGGGTGTTCAACTTCAACTTCAGTAGCAACAGGGTGTTCAACTTCAACTTCGGCAGGGGGTTCAACATCATTTTGCCTCTATTGAGAAAGTGTAATAAATGATAATGAAATTGTCGATATAGAAAACATAATGTAAAGACAAATACAAGTGTAATTACCTGGTTTTTGCAGCTACGCTTGTTATGGCCATATTGTCCACAAATTGAACACTTCTTTTTCTCACCCTTTCTTGATAACTTGCTAATTAGCTTATCACCCACAATAGATTCATTCTCAATAGGATCTCTCTTCCTTAGTTTTTTTGGTCTGCCTGGTTGCACTTTATACTTGGGTGGTAGTGGTGGTTTTTGGCCAGTTTTTGTCCATAAATCTGAGGGATGAATTGGCATTATTGCTGGTTTATAACTCCTCATATATGCTTCCACAGTATAGCAATGATGGACATAATCTTCAGGTACTTCCCCTTTTGTTCTAATTGCTGCAATGGCATGACTACAAGGGATTCCATTAAGATCCCACCTCCTACAACTGCAACATCTTTGATTCAAATTTACCTTGTAAGTCTTAAAAAAGCCAGAAATGTCTTCAACTTGGTAGTTGTCATCATTTGCTTTGTATGCTATCAAATCACCAGTGTGTGCCTTGTTTTGTTCAAGAATTTTTATGATTTTAGGGCATATTTTCATTACACTTCCCTTCATTTTGTCTCTGTTCTTCTGCATCCTAGACATTAGGTAAATTCTCAAGCTCTCACACATTGTTAGTATGTACTTATCCCTTGCATGACGAATGGAGCTGTTAAATGACTCACACAAATTATTCAGCAGCATGTCAGACTTTAGATAATCAGAAAAATATGCCCTGCAAAAGTGTCTTGGTTCCCTATCTAATATCCATTGGGCAGCTTTTGGATTTAATAATCTCAAACCTTCCAAGTGCTTTTGAAATTCACTTTCTGTAGTTGATCTACAAGCAGCCCAAAAATTCTGCTTCATGACTTGACCACCATATCCATCCTTGCTGAAATTAGCATGGAGATGCCTCACACAATGCCTATGTTCTATATATGGAAATAACTCTTCAAAAGCAGGTACTAATCCCTTTTGTTTATCAGAAATAAAGGTCCATCCAATGGGGTTTTGAGAAATATGAAGATCACCATCTAATAACTCAAGAAACCACTTCCAAGTTTCGTTTAACTCACCTTCAACCACAGCAAATGCAATTGGGTACATGTTGTTATTAGCATCTACTCCAACTGCACTTAATAATTGTCCTCCATTTTGATTTCCCTTCAAATGGCATCCATCTACACCAATTAAGGGCCTACATCCATTTAAAAACCCTTCTTTACATGCACCATAACATATATACAGCCTCTTGAATCTACT